TCTCCCCCCCCATAGCCAGTCAGAACACAGAGGGCCTTTGCATATGTGGCCTGATTCGCCTTTGCCTTGGAACACAGAGGTCGTTTGCATATGCAGCCTCACTGGCCTTTCCCTCTAACATTCTAAACAGTTTGCTGTTGATGTTCTGAGGTAAAATAAATTTCCCCTTAGTGTCTGTTGGGGGAAACCATGGTTGCAAATCTCCAGGTGAGGGCTAAAGATCACTCAGAATTACAACTGCTTTCCAGATGGCAGAGATCAGTTCCCCTGGAGAAAATGGTGAACTCTGTGTTCTTATATCCTGCTGAGATGGCCCCTGTATGACAGCCAATGTGACGTAATAGTCAGGGCTTCAGCTATTAAAACTGATGTCCAGATGACCCAGATGGCATTATACCCTACTGAGGTCCCTCCCCACCCCAAATCCTGCCCTCCCCAGGCTCTACCCCTCAAATCTACAGGTATTTCCCAACCCAGAGTTGGCAACCGTATAATTAGCTATGGAACTTCTTTCCAGACCCTTGGAACCCAGAAAACATGGCACAGGAGGAGGTGCTTTTCTACTTTAGCTGCCACTACATAACACCCTCCTCCCCCTCAACAAATTAAGTCAGAGGTGGAGAGAGCCATATCTGTTACCATGAGGCTGTCCTCCCATTCTTCCCACTTGGGGCAGCAAAATGACTTGAGACAGCCCTGCCTTATAGCTAAGCAGAAGGAAAGAAGGCTTGCCTCCCTCAATTTTCCGCTTCCCTCTGCCGCCCCACCAGCCACAATCGGGACACTCATCTGGAGCTTCCTTCTAGATCCCGTTGTATTTCTTCCCACAACGGGCATTACTCCTAGTAGGTAATATTGATAAGTTGGTTTTACATATATTTCTGATTGTGCAAGTAATCACTTTGTTCTAATGTCAGTCACACAGTTTTTTCTCATAATATTCTTTTAAAAATGGCACATGTGAAATACACTGGATAAGCTTGATAAACCAATTTTTGTGGTACCTTTCATATACATTCTTCTCATTTTAAATTGAGATGTTAGAAAAGGTAATTACTAAGCCTTAATTATATTTTTATTTTCCAGAAGACAACCAGTGGTATCGTGCATCCATTTTGTCTTATGCATCTGAAAAAACTGTACTGGTCGGTTATATAGATTTTGGAAACTTTGAGGTCCTTCATTTAAGTAGACTTCGTCCAATAATTCCCAAATTAGTGGAGTTACCAATGCAGGCTATGAAGTGTATGCTAGCAGGTATGAATCAAAATGAATAACCACAAAAATAAATTGTGGTCCTGCACTTCTCATCTGGATGTGTGGTTTATTTTTAATTGTATGCAATATGTGTAGTCTAACTGAAGGGGAAACCTCTCTTCTTTGGATTAGATCACAAGAATGGGTTCTACCTCTTAAATCTGTGTGATTTTATTCTACTTTTCAGACAAGTTTGACTTCCTAAGTCACAGAAATCAAAAACCCTTATAAATGGTAATAAAGATTAAGTAAAAATGTTGATTGGGGAGTAGATTTTTAGCTGGATTTGATCTAAGCATGATGGAGGGCTGCTTACCTGTTGAGCTCCTTCCTTCTGACATTCCCACTAATGCTAGACGTTTGAGGCAATATGTCACTGCAGAACTGCCCTGCCACCAGCAAAGGTAGAACCAGAAAAATCTCTTAAACTAAGATTTTGTTGACAAGCTATGCATGTTTCTAGTGGGAAGTAAAAATTGTGTGGTTATATTTTTCTGGTTTGTGCATTTTTAGTTTGTTTTCTAAAATTATTATGCAAAATGACACATAAAACTCTTAAGTAACGTGATTAAAAGAAGGCTGCAGTAAAAATTAGCTGCTTTGAGTTCCTGTTGGGGAGAAGGGGGGCATAAATGAAATAAAGAAATCACTGTGTGAACTTTAAAAAAATTAAAGGGTTTTTTTAAAGAGAGAGAGAGGAACAATCTGTACAAATTTTGTTTTAATCTGAGGATAAAATAGGGCAATGAAGGAAGCTGAGAATTTCTCTGAAGTCAAAGCCCTGCCTCAAGTCTTAGCAGATGAAACAACTGAGAAAGCATCTGTGAACTTCAAGGAATGGAAAGCAATATATTGAGGAGATTTCTGAGATACATAAGGGTCAATTGCCAAGGGTTTTCAATGTAGTCACCTGTATCTTCATTTGGGGCCCAGAAACCAATAGAAAGCTTAGCCAAGGTGTGGCAAGCCAACTATGAACCATATGACATTAGCTGCAACTTCCAGACTTAGGACTTCAAGGTGGCATGCTGTATTTTTGTGCGTATAAAATCTATATGTGATCTAAATGTTGGGAAAACATTGTTTCTAGGAGCTCAGAATGTATCCTATGGCTGTAGGAAAGCATAGCTTTTAAAGAGGGGAGCAATGTAGTTTTCCTGTTTGTTTGTTTTTTAGGTATAAAGCCAGTGTCTGGAAGCTGGTCCACAGAGGCAACGTCTTTCATGAAATCACTGGTACAAAATAAAGTGGTCACCATAACAGTAGTGGATAAAAATGAGAACACTTTTGCAGTAGAACTTACAGATAAATCAGTGACTCCAATGATAAATGTGCGTGAAAGCCTTTTAGAGTCTGGATGTGCAGTGGAAGGAGATGCCGCCATCTCAACAGGGCTTGAAGGAAGTACTGGAATATTGCAAGAGGTGAATGGTAAGTGAAAAATTGCTGCAGAGGTTTACTTGAGAAGCTGGCTGCATAAATACTTGGGCAGCATTTTGAAAGTAGGTAAATAGAGGCTTTGGCATTTAGGAATATTTGTAGATTGGGTTTATGTGTGTGACTTTCTTTCATCATTAATCAGCTGTAGTACATATTACACATTCTAATTAAATCAGCTATAAAAATATAATTTGAAAATGCTCTTAAATTCAATAGTACCCCTATTCTGAACTTTGCAGTTTTAACAGGTTCAGCTGACAGAAAGTTTGCAAGCAGCGGAGAGCTTAAAAGCTGCCAGTTTAGCTGTGTACTAGCTCTAGCCATCTGTGTTGTTAAGGGAGAAGTAGAATGCTTTGTTTTGGAGGAAATGTAAGGATATTTTTATAAGAAATATATCACAATCCAATGGGGTTTACAGCTTCTTCTTTTTTTTAAGACACACAGAAATGAAGCTGCATTGAGCTCAAGCCATTCCTTCCCGATGTGGTTGCTGAGCTGCTTCTGCAAGTGATGTCAGCAGTAATGTAGAGGGAGTGTAAAGAAGCCCCTCTGGATTCATTCGAGCATCACTGTCAGCCTCCTGCATTATCACAAAAATGAAAAATTCCTTAGCCCACCCTTCAAATGGTCCTCAGTTAACATCAGTAAGACCTTGCAAGATCATTTTGATTTATCAGAATTTAAACTTAACTGAATGTGCAAACCGTTTAACACATTCCACAACTACCTGTTGTATTGATTAACAGAGGGAGTTAAAAATGTCCTCTTCAGCCAGAGGAGCTGTTTGCCATAGTCTCTGAAGTCCTGCATGTGGGCTCTGTGCTGAGGTAGCTTTGAAACATTCTAGGTCTCTAGTCAAAGAAAATGGTGCTACTAATGTTGTACACAAGGGCGCAATCTGCATCTAGCATTTGCTCCATTGTTTTACCAAACTCACACTGGAACAGAAAAAAATGCGGCTCAAAACCACATTCAAATACCCCGGGCCAACGCCATACTGACTGCAGAGTCACCCCTGAACGGCCATAAAACGGCCATAAATCTCTGCAATCAGTTCCATAAAACCTGAGAGATCAAACGAAGTGAAAGCAGCATGCAGTCTGGACACTGCCATAAAATGTGACAATCAATCAAAGTGAAAGTGGCAGGGGAATTTCTATGCCAATGTGGGTTTGGTAAAACAGTGGAGCAAATGCTAGATGCAGATTGGGCCAAGGAGTTTTACATTTTTTTATTGTTCCTAGGGTGCAGTGCTATTATAAAGCTTCATTTTAAATCTTTTAGAGTTTTCAAATGCTTTAATTAAATGGGCCTGAGATTCAAAGATGGGCTGATCAATGAAGGATGAACATAACATTGGACTTTATGTTTTGTTTTGTTTTTTGTCTTTGCCTATAGATCAGAAACCAGACAAAGTTGATTGGGCCTGGATCACATTAACACCTAAACAGGTGATAGATGTCATGGTGTGTATGGTGTACAGCCCCAGAGAGTTCTACTGTCAGATATTAAACAACAATGGTACATTTTATTTCTCAGTTTTGGGGAGAGTTTTTGTTGATGATGTTGTTCCTTCTTGTATGTTGGTATCTCATTTAAAAGATCCATGGCACTACTTCAGCCATGCATTTAACTGAAGCTTGTCATTTTTCATGCCTAGCCAGTTGGCTCAATTATAATTGAGCCAGGAACCTAACAAGTATCCAGTGTTTCCATTTTAGTCACCCATCCATTTATGCAAATAACGGACTTGGACCAGAATACTTCTGACTGGTTGATGGGTGTATACTTTTCTGCATTCTCTTATTTGTTGCATTAAAAATTAGGGATAGCAAATGTATATTCTACCTGTGTAGAGACCTGTTTGAGGCAGCTTGTAATTAAAACAGTACAGCAAAACCATTAAAAAACAAGTCAGGGAATAAACCCAGCATAAAACGCACATTGGGCAGCCAAAAATGATATAAATAACAGCACAAAAGCAGACCACAAGAGAGAGGTAAAGGTGACTTTTAAAAATCTGATTAGTATTCTCACATTTCTGCACTGCTCAGCGATCTGATGAGAGTTCAGATGTGAGGGTCAGGACTGAACTAAGGGTGTGGTCACACGGCAAGCTTACTGCAATTTGTTCCTGCTGTAGATTTGATTTGGGATATTTTTTAGGCGGGTTTGGATGTTCACACATCCCTTGCTCAACCGCTTGCATCGTGCAGTGAGGCTCCTGGCACCGTCCAGACAGTAGTCGATTTTCCCAGTGTCGGAAAACAGGCTAGAAAACCGGGAGGATTGCGGGGGTGAGTCCACTTCGATACGGGAGACACAATCAACTGTCTGGTCAGCCCTTTTAATTGCAATAGGGAACAGTTGTGAAACCTGATCAAAATGACCGTGTGACCACAATCTAAATGTGACATCTGCACATGACAACCATTGAAATCAATTTCAAAGTAACCCAGGAGTCTGATGCAGATAGGGACCATGCCATGGCATGGAGGTGCTTCAGCCTCCCCCCTCTTGCCATTTTCCTGAGTTGAAAATGGTCCTGGAGCTATTACCCCACTGGGGGCTGCACATGTTTGTATTACCCAGTAGGGCCAGGAAAAGGACCCCAAAGCTGTTTATACTCAGGGAAGTAGCAGGGGGAGGATAACCCCTCCCACGCCACTGACCCAATCTGAATCAGAATCCTGTGGTGCTTTGGAATAGAGTTGCTAGAAGGAACTTGCAAAGATGGTATGACTGCCAGTCCCTGTGGCAATAACATGGCAGATGTCATGCCTTATTCAGCCCTCAGTTCTGACGTTTAATGAAGGTACTGCTCTCAAAAGTAATCTAAGCTCTCAGAGAACCACACTTAATTTCCTGGCTTATTTTTGACAGCCCAAAAATATCTTTGTGTCCGAAGGAGCATTGCTGGCAGTTAACAGAATCATCTCTCAGGTTCCAGGATAGGGTTTTTTTCTGTGGTGACACCAGTCTCTGCAGACACTGGAGGGGTGTGCATGTGAGTTAAACAATATAGACAGTTCTTCATCAATGGCAAGAGGTACGCTTAATCAGCATGTGTACAGTTTGGAAGATCTTTAGATTGAATCTTAAGCTTCTTAATGGGGGAAAGTAAGTCATACAAAGAGCAGTTTAAAGGAGAAAAAGTTTGTAGGTAACTGGAATTACAGAAACTAACAGTAACTTCAGTTTCTTGCAGGCTTTTTCTGCTTTGCTGCTGTGTATTTTGTAAACGATTTTCACATTTTTCGGTTGTTTTTATACTTTGAACTGCCCTTTCTAGGATTATTTTAATGTGGTGACATTGCTGCTGCTCAGGGGTCGTTTCGTAGAAAAAGAGCTAGGGGAAGTTATTAGCATAACTCATTAGCATATGCCATACCCCCTGACATCACCAGAAGTGTGTCATAAGGCCACACCCCCTGACATCACCAGAAGTATGTCATAAGGCCACACACCCCGCCCCCAACGGTCCCGGCCGGCGGGAGGGCAAGGAAGCCCCGCGAAGGCCCTCCCTGGCCCCAGGCAGGCAGGGGTGGGGAGAGGCAGGGAGGAAGCAACTTACCCTCCCTCTTCTCCTGCCTCCTCCTGGCTGAATGAGGGCTGGAAGCGGGGCGGCCGGAAGCAGGGGGCGGGGCTTCGTCATGTGCCCCGCCCCCCGTACCTCACCCGGGGGAACCGCGATCCCCCCCGAAATGACCTCTGCTGCTGCTTAATATTAACCTGTTAAGAAGGGTGCTGCTTTAGCTGAATGAAAAGTAAATTGGAATGATTGAGTAGCCCTCTACTACTGCAAATGATGGATGAAGAATTTTGTATTCTAATTTTATTGTTACAGACCTGAAGGTTCTAAAAGAACTCAATTCAGCCTTAGCAGAATATTGCCAGAAAACAACTCCTTGTGTTTCTAAAATAGCAAAAGGAGAGCCATGCTGTGCTTATTTCTCTGGTAAGTGAACTTGCTCCCTGTTCTTTCCTGTATGCAGCATAACAGCCCGCTACTTTCTGAGATTTGGGGGCGTGGGTATAGCACTCAGCTTTGAATCAGCTCTGTAAGATGTCACACCATATTTCTTGGATTATGCATTGGAAAAGAAAGGGTATGCTAGCTGGGATGTTTGAGGGGGAGGGAACAAGAGAAAGCTCCAGAGACGAGTTGGAAAAAGGCATCCAATTAAAGATTCAGGATTAGTTCAGCATCTGGAGAAGGAAGTGGGTGTTCTGTGCATTATTCTCAGTACAGAAATCTGCATAGTTTCAGGTACACACTCTATCTTTAGTCTTAACAGCTTTAAACAGCAAAAATAGCCATAATGGTAGAAAACCTGATCAACAGGGCTACTCTTATGTAAGTATTGTGTATCTTTCTCAACCCAACAATGCATTTAATTTGCCCTTGGTAAATCATTGGGACTATGTTGGTTGAATGACTTTGCAAAGGTTCTTAGGTAGAAGGATTTATAACTGTGAATCCTAGATTCCCCTAAAGCACCTAAATTCAGATGGTTCCATTAAAATAGTCCCATGATAATGACTTCTACAGTATTAAAAGTAATGTTTAACCATTCCCTGTAGGATGTTAGTATGTTACTTGCATTGCTGCAGATTAATTTTAATTTCTGTTTTAAAATGCCTTCACTGTGAAATGGAATAGCATGTGCTTATTTAATTGCTTTGTTTACAGTTTTCCTGAAGAACAATGCAACAACAATGTATCAGTAGTTTTGCATACACCTAACACAGAGACATAGCAAAAAATCTTAATTTTTAGTTGTACACTGAATATATAATTTTTGTTTGTGTGTGCTTTTAGGTGATGGTAGGTGGTATCGTGCTTTGGTAGAAGAGTCCACTTCAGATGAAACTTTTAAAGTTCAGTTTGTGGATTATGGAAACAATGAACTGATTACTCTGGATAAACTCAGACAAATTTCATCTACATTTTTGAAACTTCCATTTCAAGCAATCAGATGTTGGTTGTCAGGTGAAACTTTTCCTTTTTCAGTAATGACAGAATCCAATGACCAATATGATTGGAAATCATAGTGTAAATAACAATCTCTCATCTTCAGATTAAATGAGAATTCTATGTTGAAAAATAATGAACAGCGAGCTTAAGCTTTACAACATTAACTTTACCATTAAATCATATTTCCAGACCAGAAACCCAAAATATTGTTATGCTTTTTATCTCATTTATCCTTCAAGAGAACAGGTGTTAGGAAACAGTCAAGTCTCTGCAGAATACTAGATTAGTATAGAATGAATACACATCAGTGCCTGAGGTAAGAGATTGAAAGCCAAATTAGAGATTAAATCTCTTTTCACAAGTTTGCTACAGGAATTTACAGTCAGACAACCTCTGCCCCCACCCCACCCCCATGTGTGGTTTTGGCTGCTGAAAGTGGTGTCCCTTTGGCAAATTCCTGAAAAAAATAATGGCTTTTGCTTCCCCCCCCCAAGAATTAGAAGTCAGTTCAGTGTGCCATACTGTCTAGTAGTATCCTGCTCTGTGGCGTTTTGTCACAAAATGAAATCATTAAATCAGCCAATACAATATAAGGGTTATATAACAGTTGTAAGGTTGCAGTTTGTATTCCATTCACAATTGGGAGCTAGTGCACTGCAGTGCCTGGTGCTTTGGGTCTGGATGTGTGGAAACCAAATTCAAACACTCACTCTGTTGCAAGGTCCATCTGCCTCAGTGTGATGCATTCTGGTTTCCCATGGGAGATACTGCTGGAGGCTGTGCTCTATTCTTAGAGCGTTTTGTTTTATCTTATTTTATCCATTTACATATATACTTTTCATACCTTTAAATTTTTTCTCTTTCCTCTGTTAAGCTCCCATCGCAGGTACTTTGTCCTTGTTGCTTTTTACTGAGCTCTTACAACTTCTTCCTATTTTCTTATCTTATAGATGCTTCCTGTTTTTGACTAGGCTAGTTTACCAGCAGTAATAGTTTCTTTCCCTGCTCCCCTCTTTGTTAATCGGGCGGGGTTCCTTACAAAGACACTAGTCTGTTTTTTACTTTATATTAATTCTGTATTTTATTAGCTTCTATTCACTGTATTCATACCAATTTTATAAATTCTATAAATCTACTTTTTAAACTTTACTCATAATTATTCTTAATTATTTTTACTTATCTGTTCAGTTACCTATTTACTGCTGAAGTGACAAGAGCGATAGGATAGGAGCAAAGGGAATGCTGCGGGGCTGAGCTCTACACCAATGCTCCCTCAAAGCTTGTGAGCAAAGTCTTGTGAGCAAAAATTCTACTTGGTGAGCTATTGGCATTAAAGCTGTGAGCAAGCAATTTTGGCTACTGCATAAAGTAGTTTGCTCTGGAGCCATCCTTCCTGAGCTAAGACAAAAATGTGTGAGCCAGAGGCTAAAAAACTGAGCTAGCGCACACTAACTCAGCTTAGAGGGAACACTGCTCTACACCTAGAGGGATCTCTTTGTTTCTGCATATATTTTGTGTTATATTTTCTTTCGTTTTGCACTTGTTTTGCAGTTTATTTTAAAGTTTACATATTTTTTCGTTCGTTTCTCCATCTATTTGTGTGCACTCATGCCATAGCTTGGCTCAGTTTCTTTCTCTTTTTTAACTTTTTTATTGCTTTTATATACTACATTCTAAAGGGAGGGGGAAAAGGGAAATTACTAAAACTAAAATCACTAAAACTGTTTCCAGACAATTTGCCACCAGAACCTCTTTTCACTAGTCCCTGCTTTTCCTAAGGGAAGAGATTCCAAACACTTAGTTGGCATCTGGGACAGAACACATTAGCAACTCAATCCAGAGATGCACACTTTTACTCTTACAAAGAAGAAGAAGAGATTGGATTTATACCCCGCCATTCACTTGGCGTCTCAGAGCGGCTTACAAACTCCTTTCCCTTCCCCTCCCCACAACAGACACCCTGTGAGGTGGGTGGGGCTGAGAGAACTCTGACACAAACTGCTCTTTCAGGAACAGCTGTGCCAGAGCTTGTGACTGACCCAAGGTCACATCAGCAGGTGCAAGTGGAGGAGTGGGGAATCAAACCCAGTTCTCCCAGATTAGAGTCCGCACACTTAACCACTACACCAAACTGGCTTAAGTGGTCAGGGTTAGCTACAAGATTTAGCCTTGGAGTTCAAGTTACCACATCAGAGACACAATTAGAAATAAGAAGGATCTTTATTCAGTACAGAGCACAGCAAACAGACTAGGAGAGTATAAAATAACAAAGGCTAGGGCAATTTGCTAACTACACATTAAAGATACATAGTTACCAAGTCAGGAACATCCAACAGTCCAGAATAGTCCAAGGGATTTTGAAGGGAAATCCCATCTTTGCACACCCATGTGCTCCAAGTCACCAAGCAGGTCTTTGTTTTCCAAGAGACAGCATTTCAGATGCAATAAAACAGACAATGACAAGAGGAGGAAGGGAGAGCTAAGCGAGTCACTCCCATAGGGATCAATCAATTATACCCCTATTCCAGTCACAAATTAGCCATGGCCATCAGCCAATTGCGAGTGGGCATGGGTGTCCCCAATTGTTGGTTGCCATGGTTGCTAACATCAGGTTTGTGGGATTGGCTGGAAGTTTGGAGACCCTGCCTGCAGTCCGCGGACCCAAACTCCAGCTACTTCATTGTGTACGTGACTGGTCGCAAGTGGGCCAGAGTGTGGAGCCATGAGGTCTGGCTTTTGGCATGAAGGTGTGAAAGAATGTGGGTTTATGGCATGGCTATTGAGGCCATGTGGCCTCACCATTTGGCTTACAACAGGAAATAAGACACAGCACAGGAGAAGGCATGTGGATATAGAAAGCAGAAAGCAATTTTTCTATGCACACCCCCTCTCAGGCGCTGGCGCGCGTCTCCCGGAGCTCCGGGAGAACGTGGCCACCATAGCAGACGCCAAAACCAGAAGTCTTGTTTCAACTTTCTTAATAGCTCCGTCGGTTTCATTTGCTCTTTTTATCCATTCATGTCAGCTGCTTTTGGACTCCATCCAATTTGCTATTGATATTAGACATCTTCAGCAGGGTGCGCAGTGCCTGAGCCAACATATTGGTAAAGTCTGCAGCTGCTTCCTGTGTCAGGGTGTGAGTCGTTGTTAGAGTATTTCCTGTGAGAGGTTTCTTTTCCGACGCCATTCTTCTCCCTCTGCCAGACATTGTTTATATAAGAAGAAAGGTTTTGGATTTAAACTCAAAGTTCTACGATTTGAATACGCTTTGGATTATTTTGCACCTTTCGGTCTTAGGTACAGTCTCTCACGGTCAGTTTTGCTTATTTTCTTTTCATTTGTCATTCAGGGACCGTTCAATTTTAGGGGGGGGGTAACCCCAACTCTTCCCCCACCCACCGCTGCTTATTTCATAAGTTGATGCCATTTGCCTTAAAGTCTTTAGCCGCTTTTGAAGGGGATTGCTTAACTCACAGTTTGATCGTGTTTAAGTCATTATAGGAGGATCTTCATGTTAGATCTCTTGTTCACTCGTCCAGCAGCCAGCTCTTAATTGCCATGATGGCTTCACAGCAGCAGGACCTCTCGGGGTAGGGAGAGTCTCTATTCCTCAGCCGTTGCCTCGGAAGAGACTCCCCCCCGCACCCCAGGCTTGGAGTCCCCTACAAGGACTTTGGGGGGGCTCAGACCCAGCCGGAGCCCCTCCTGTCTGCCGCGACTCGGCATGTCTCCATCAGGAGCTCGATGGGACGCGTCCAAGCTTCAAGTCGCCAAAACCGGAAATGCTTGGCTCAGTTTCTTCTTTAGTTGTTGCTTTCCCCATTAAATGTAGACTCTTGTCTCAGATGTAGAGTTTATTTCCTTGTTGACTGGTGTTACCTGACCTGATTTATTGCGCTCAGCTACTTGATTTTATTCTTCTCCCTAATTTCTCTTTCTTTTTTTTAACCTAGTCTCTGCAATACAAATCCACGTCCCCTCTTCCCTTGCCCCCTTTTTGGGTGTGGTAGAGTATTCTCAGTAATAGAGAATAAGCTGAGCGAACTCCTTCACTTCATTTAATTTTACACTTGCCCAGGCGTGGAGTTCCTCCTTGTTTTTGAGTTTTTGATATTTGATTTTCTTTCTCCTTTTCCTTTTGCATTATAGCCACAGCTGTTACTTTTCTCCTTCATTCTACCTGTTCTGTTCTGTTTTGTTGTTTTACTTCTGCTTTGCTTTACTTTTAATTCATTCTCAATTTGCTCTCAATGTGTTTTAAGGTTGAGACTGACGGGAACATCTATTCATTTATTTCCCCCATAGAAGTAGTAATTTTAAAAGTGTTGATTTTAATTTTAATTTAATTCTAATAATCTCAGTAATCTTAACAATGATTCTAAATAATGAATTGTCTAACTAGATATTTTACATAATTACATAGGGGACACAGATTTTAGGGGTATTTTTGTTTTCTCTTTCTCAGTACCCTTAGAGATTAATTTAATACAATAGACTCTAGTATAATTGAGATAGGGGCCTTTGTAACTTTGGTAACCTATTTGTGGATGGATATAGTATCAGGGATATGAGAAGTACAAGCTCAGAAATTAATTAAGCTGATCTTATTGTAGAGCATAAACCAAAGATAGAGTATACTATGAATCGTAAGCGTAACTACACAAAGCAGCGCAGAAGATTCCCTCAGTCTCTACCGCAATCCTGATAATAGCTTTGAAGCTTTATAACTATCCATAGATCATCTTCCTCCACCAAATGACAGAAATGCAGACAGTGCCCATAACCTCTTGAACGATTCTTTAATTAAAGAGGTAACTGCAAAATTAGGTGATCTACAGAATCTATTAATGAGGACTCGATATTGAGCCTGTTAGCCTCACAAACCTTCCTCACTGCACATACCCTAAATAAAATTTATGAAAAAGTAGATCACCTCTCTGCCCAAATCTTAAACAGTAACCCAGTAAAGGAATGGAAGAAAGTTCACAAAGGTGCTCCTTCTGCTCCCAACCCTTGCAGAATTGTGTTGGACATTTACTGTTTTAAGAGGAAGAAGAATCAACGGGAGCAGCAAATAGCTTATAAAGGAGCATCTAGCATCCCTTTTAAATTTTCACCCTACTTCAGTCAATCTAAAATATTATGATTATCTAGTAACCTTTGCTCCTTTTGCCTAATGCTTCTATTCTATTCTCCAAAACTTCTGTCAAACCAGGAGTAATTTCGAAGTCATGGCATTTCCCCCCCAATGCCCCTTTATAACCACTGCAGTTAACCCACTTTTCCCCACTACATTCCCTCTGAAATTTCCCCAAAGTATCCAAATTATACAAAAAAGAAGGCAGTAGACCCCCAATAGTTAAGAAGCAGGTACTTAAATCTCCAGATACTCCATTGATTGATTTAACAGAACCATTAACTCCACAAGAACCTTTAAAAAATGAATCACAAAGAGTGAGGAAATCTCAAAATTATATTTCAGCATTTCAGAAGGAAAATGATCTGGATGCTATTGATAGAAGTTTCCTAAATTCTTTAGAGGCCCTTCCCTCTGAAGAGCAAATCAACATTCTTAGGAGACTTGAACAATTGCAGGGTCATCTAATCAAAGTCCAACAAAGGAACACAATCAAATCTACCAACAACATTCATTCAATAAAACATTCATTCAACCTGCCAACAATGATGAGATATATAGTAAGAGTGCCGAATCCTCTATATTTACATAAAACTCTCAACCTAGAGAGACTAGCAAACAATACAGGAAGAAATCAGAAGAGAAGGGAAAACTTCCCCTTTGTAGAGCTATGGGAGGATTCATCCCCCTCCTTGTGAAAAAACTCTCTCACAACTCCCAACCAGTGTTCCCTCTAAGCTGAGGTAGTGTGAGCTAGCTCACAGTTTTTTAGCGTCCAGCTCACAGATTTTTGTCTCCGCTCAGGAAGGATGGCTCCAGAGCAAACTAATTTATGCAGTAGCCAAGTCGCTCGCTCACAACTTTAATGCCACTAGCTCACAAAGTAGGATTTTTGCTCACAAGACTCCACAGCTTAGAGGGAGCATTGCTCCCAACCATCTTCAGTTCCAATTCCCCTTGAACCCAAAATTCAGATACGTTTTGCAAATCCTAGGGGAGGCAAATGTATCCCAGGAGGCCTGCATGTGTTTAACAAGAAAATTATTCCACAGCTCCTTTATGGAGCTTCACTATGGATCCTTTGAGCTAGTGAAAAATTAGATCACCCTCTTAACCACTTCCTGCAACATATCACAGGTACTCCAAGAAGTCACTCTAAGATTAAAAACTGGATTAAGGTACTATTAGAGCCAAAGTGTGGCTATATGCATTCAAGCATAAACTAAAGCTTACCTTTGCTACGAAGAAGAATGTTCTCCTTTTCGAGTTTAATTAAGATCTGGGGGGTGGGGGGTTCCATTCTGGATGCAAGAAATAGATAAGAAACTCTTTAGCCTTGGCTTAGCAAAGGGTGATATACTCAAGCTTGAGAAAAGTGACACTTAAGTATTAAGAAATATATAAAAGACCTAGACCACTTTAGTTCAGTGGTGAGAGTCAGGAGGGTATGCTCTACAGTTTTTTGGTATCCTTCCATCTCCAACCATCCCAGCCTATGCTAGACACTTAACAGTTCCCTGCTACTGTAGAGCATTCATGCTTGTACATCTAAATGCAGCCCCCTCAGCAGTCTTATATGGGAGATATTCCAATCTGTTTTATTTGGAAAAGCTCTTGCCAATGCAATCTGAGAAAGACTGACCCATTGTCCCATATGATACTAGAATGCTCCTACTATAAATTTTACCATAAATTGTGGATTACCCCTACTTTAACTAGACTATCTTTTGCTGTCTCAAAAGAGAACATATCCCCTTTCTGTTGGTGGATAAAATTAATTAATTAATTATCATATGGCAGTGGGTGTAATATAGCCAGGAGATTCAAAGCCTTTAGCTCTTTTTGTGGCGAGCTAGGTTTATTTTTTGTGCTGTGACTAACCCAAGGTTCACCCAGCTGACTTTAAGTGGAGGAGTGGGGAATCAAACCTAGTTCTCCAGATTAGAGTGCGCCGCTCTTAACCACTACACCACACTGGCTCTCTCATTGGTGGATAGAGGTCCAAGGACTATTTTCAGCCAAGTATTTCTCCACCATATGTTCCTTAAAGAAATAAATGCTTCATATCTGCTGCTCAAGATCATTGGATCAAAGGAGCTTAAAGGTGTTGTTCAGTCGCACAGTCGAGTCCGACTCTTCGCGACCCCATGCACCAGCTCCCGCCAGGCCCTCCTGTCTTCCGCCATCCTCTGACGTTTGCTCAATTTCATGTTCGTTGCATCTATGACACTGTCTAACAATCTCATCCTTTGCCGTCCCCGTCTTCTTTGACCTTCAATCTTTCCCAGCATCAGGGTCTTCTCCAGTGAGTGCTCCCTTCTCATTTGGTGGCCAAAGTATTTGAGCTTCAGTTTCATTATCTGGCCTTCCAGGGAACAGTCAGGGTTGATTTCTTTGAGGATTGACTGATTTGTTCTTCTTGCAGTCCAAGGGACTCTCAAGAGTCTCCTCCAGCACCATAGTTCAAAAGAATCTATTCTTCGGCGCTCGGCCTTCCTTATAGTCCAACTCTCACAGCCATACATGACTACTGGGAATACCATTGCTTTGACCATGCGGACTTTTGTTGGCAGGGTGATGTCTCTACTTTTTATCATGCTGTTTAGGTTCGCCATCACTTTCCTCCCAAGGAAATCTTTTAATTTCATGGCTGCTGTCACAGTCTGCGGTGATCTGGGATCCCAGGAACGTGAAGTCTGTCACTACTTCCACGACTTCCCCTTCTATTTGCCAAGGAGTGATGGGGCCAATGCCATGATCTTAGTTTTTTTGATGTTGAGCTTCAAGCCCACTTTTGCGCTCTCCTCTTTTACCCTGCTCTCCTCTTTTACCCTAAGCAAGAGGCTCTTAAGGTCCTCTTCACTTTCTGCCATTAGAGTGGTATCGTCTGCATATCTGAGGTTGTTGATCTTTTCCCCAGCAATCTTAATTCCCACTTGTGATTCATCCAAGCCAGCATTTTGCATGATGTACTCTGCATATATATTAAATAAGCAAGGTGACAATATACATCCTTGTCATACTCCTTTTCCTATGCTGAACCAATCAGTTCCATATCTTAAAGGTAAGGCAAAGCAAAGGCAAGGTCCATTGGATGGCTTTATCAGAAGCACTTATTGCTTTATCTTTAGAGGAAATCGGAACATAACAATACTGGTTCTTCCAATGAATGAAAGTTTCACTTCAGAATGATGTTCTTTTTCTTTTACTGATGGGTGGAGAACGAAACATTGGACTTAGCATGGGGTTTCTTCTCAGTAGATGGAGGGTATCTTCAGCTACCTGAATTATCTTGCTTCTGAGTAAAAAAAAGGACAGTTAGTTTAGTGAGCCTCTGCTATGCTATATCCTAGATGGGGGTGAGACCATCTTCTTTACCAGAAGGGATGGAGACTGTCCAGTTTATGTAGCACAGCTTGTGGTGTGAATGGAAGTAGTAAGCCATACCAGGATGCTCTGCATACTCTTGAGAAGATGCTATCCCTGTACCACCTTGCTCTGACTTAGCATTGCTCTCAGTTTTATCCCCTTCACTATTTAGGAACATTGCTTTCCTTGAACTAAGTTGCTTATATTATCGTTCATCTGTCACATTTATTGGCCTTTTTGTTGAGGGCTGATTTGTTACAGCTGCTAACACATCTTAATAGTTGCATTCAAGAGATAGAGATTTGTGTATTTCAATGCAGTTGCAAAATTTCTTTGCAATTATGAATGCAGGTAACTTCCTGTATGTTGGTTTATTACATTTCACAAAATACTATGCTCCTGTTTACTCAGAAATACATCTGAGGTTAGTGGCATTTACTATTTGATAGTGTATGTACCAAGGGAATTGTTTGTTTGTTTTGCGCTTGCAGAATTACTAAAGGGTTCTTAAATGTTATTTTTCCTCAGGTGTAAGGCCAATAAACAAGGACTGGACCACAGAAGCTGTAGTGGCGTTTCAAATGTACACAGCTGGGAAGAAACTTCAAGCCAGAGTAGTTTCTTTAACCACAGATGGTGCTGAAGTAGAGCTTATTGACAGTTCTGCTGGCAGTCCCATAATGATCAGTGAAATTTTAATTAACAAACTTTTGGCTTTTAAAAAGGAAGCACCATCAACTCAGAATATGCTGCCGTCTGAATCTCCAGCCATTGATTTCAAAGGTGACTGATATTTTAAGTGACGTGAAAGCTAACATAAGGCTTGTCTTTTCTTTAGGTTTATATCACAGTTATGTGGTAATGGCGTTCAGGAAATGGCTCAAAAATTCTTGAGATTTAGTGGTAAATGCCAGTAGTTGTTGCTTCATGGGTATGCCTTGGTAAATGATGGAAATAAGAATGCAGTTAAGTATTTCTTGATAAGCTGAAGGCATGAGACCAATAAATGAATTTCAGTAATAATACAAATTCAACGGAAAGCAAATCTTTCCGTATATATAATTGAGTAGTCTGGTGGCACTTTCTGAACATTCCACACGCTCCTAAATCAGTTGGCTCCATGATGTATAACTCAGAAGCTGTCCCTATCCACTGGCTGCGTTGCCTGAGTCCTGCCCACAGTGCGCTCCGTCAGCCATTGGCCCGTCAGCCTCCACTCAAGAGTACTCGCGTGCCATTGGCCGGGTGCTGACTCTGCTCCTCTTCCCTGCCCACTCCAGCCACTGTTCCCTGTCAGAATACACTCTCTCTCTCCTGAAGGAGACACTGCTTGGCACCTCTGTGGGACTAACTTTTCCCTCAGTGGCTGTTGGTAGGCAACCAAGCTTGGTTCTGTCAGTAAAAAGACAATGGAACGAAACCCTTTCCACACCTATGTGAGAAACCCTTTCCACACCTATTTTGGCCTTTGGGAGAAAACTTATTGGGGCCAGTCCTGACTAGGGTTGCCAGCTGCAGGTAGGGAGATTCTGTGTCTAAGGAAACCAGAATCAGGGGCGGGGAGAGGCCTCAGCTGAACAGAATGCTATAGAGGCCACCGTCCAAAGCAGTTAATTTTCGGGGGGGGGGGAGATCTGTTGTCTGGAGTTCAGTTGTGATACCTGGCGGTCTTCAGGCTCCACCTGGAGGTTGGCTCCCCTAGGCATAGCAGTCATTCTTTCAGAGCACTGTCTGCTAGATCCAGGCGCTTGCTGTGGCAGCTGAGTGGGTGATTTTGGACCAGTCACAGACTTTCAGCCTAACCTACCTCACAGGATTGTTGTGCAAGTCAAAAGGGGGAGAGGAGAATGATGCAAGCTGCTTTGGTCCTCATTGCAGAGAAAGACTACTTTTCCTCCTGGGGAACCATTGTTGCCAATCTCCAGGTGAGGGCTGGAGATCACTCAGAATTACAACTGCTCTCCAGATGGCAGAGATCAATTCCCCTGGAGAAAATGGTGGACTCTGTGTCCTTATGCCCTGCTGAGATGCCCCCCATGACAGCCAATGTGACGTAGCAGGGCTTCAGAGCACCGTAGAGGCTGCAGGGGGGGGGGAGATGGAAAGCTGAAGAGTGAGAAGGAAATAAAGGTGGGTTGATGATTGGCTGGGAAAGAGATAGGGTTGCTAACTCCAGGTGGGAAATTCCTGGAGATTTGAGGGATGGAGCTTGGAGAGGGTGAAGTTTGAGGAGGGGTGGGACCTCAGACAGGTACAATGCCATAGACTCCACCCTCCAAACCAGCTATTCCCTCATGGGGACCCATGTTGCTCCAAGGATTAGCTAAAATGTGTTGAACTCCAGTTTGGGAAATTCCTGGAGATTTGAGGGGTGGGGCCTGGAGGGGGTGGGGTTTGAGGAGAGGTTGGACCTCAGACAGATAGAATGTCATAGACTCCACCCTCGAAACCAGCCATTTCCTCCTGGGTAACAATTGTTGCCAATCTCCAGATGAGGGCTGGAGATCACTCAAAATTACAACTGTTCTTCGGGTAGCAGAGATCAGTTCCTCTGGAAAAAATGGTGGACTCTGTGTCATTATACCCTGCTGAAGTCGCCACAGCAAATTGACACTGAGTGCCCAAGGCTGGGGCATGCTCCCAGAGCCTCTTTCTAGAGCTCATTGTATTTATTTCCACAGTGGGCCTTATTCTTAGTATTACATAATTCCTTAACAGTTGCCACACTCATAAGACTGTGTTGTTTTGTGTAGAATTACACCAAATTTTAGCCAAGGCAGCTATAAATGGGCAAGTTTAAAAATAATTTTCATTTCTGCAACACTCTTTAAACAATGAATGTTGTATATCCCAATATAGAGTGGAACAGCTAAAAAAAAATTCCCTCTGCTTCTTAAAAGTAGTATTGCAATGTGTAACACAGTTAATGTTTAACATGATTGGCTCCACAAGTAGCCTGTATGTGTTTTAGAATTGGAAGGAGCCATATAACGTTCTAATTTGTACGATGTGGAAAATCCTAAATGAAAGCATTCCTGGCTGGTGGCTACCAAGCCTTTTAAAACCTGTAGGAAAGGAAAACATCCTCTGTTGTTGAACTACTCTTTCGGGAATTTCCCATTCTTTAACATAAGCCCATCCAGTCTAGTCTTGACCTCTAGAGGAGCAGAGAACAAGTTTTTGTCTCTCTTCATCTGGCAGCCTTTCAGGTAGCTGAAGGGCACAATCATGACTCCCCTTAGTCTTCTCTTATCCAGACTGAACATACCCAGTCTCTCCAGCCTTGTGGCATAACTTGTTTTCTAGACTCCTGGCCATCTTCATTGCCCTCTTCTGAATATTTTTTTCCATTTGTCTATTACTGGCTAACTACTGGCCAGTTTTCAATTTGTCCTATTTGGGCAAATTAATTGAGAGGGCGGTGACGATTTAGTTGCAGGGTTTTTTGGATGACACCTCTACATTAGACCCCTTCCAGTCTGGCTTCCGACCAGGCCATGGTTGCCCTCATAGACAATCTTCAGAGGCATCTGGATCAGGGCAGTGTGGCTGTGTTGCTGCTGTTAGGCCTGTTGGCGGCGTTCGACATGGTTGACCACCAACTACTGGCCTGCCGCCTTGCTGACACTGGAATTCAGGGGTCTCCTTACAGTGGCTCTCTTTGTTTCTTCAGGGTCGGGGACAAAGGGTGGCCATTGGGAAGTAGCTGTCCCAAAGGCACCCCAAGGTGCAGTGCTTTCCCCGATGTTGTTTAACATCTACATGCGCCCCCTTGTCCAGATTGCCCGAAGCCATGGGCTGGGTTGTCATCAATATGCAGACAACACTGTTGTTGGGTGGCCAGTCTGACTCTAAGCCGGAAGATCTGGACCTGGTGTTGAAAGCTGTGGCTGGTTGGCTTAAATTGAGTCAATTGAAATTTAATCCAATGAAGACAGAGGTCCTGTGCCTGAGTCAGAGTGGCCCAAGGGTAGGGATCCCACTCCCAACTTTTGATGGGGCGCTGTTGGTGCCAGCGTCGGAGGTTAGGAGTTTGGGAGTGCTCCTGGATGCCTCCTTAATAATGGAGGCCCAGGTAGCAGCTGCTGCGAAGTCAGCCTTTTCTCATCTCCGACTGATCAAGCAGTTGGTTCCCTTCCTCAAATGCAATGACCTGGCAACAGTGATTCATGCAATAGTCATCTCGAGATTAGATTACTGTAATGCTCTTTACATGGGGCTGCCCTTATCTCAAATCCGGAAGCTGCAGCTGGAGCACATCCTGCCTGTGCTAAAAACTTTGCACTGGCTGCCTGTAGCATACCGAATTTGGTTCAAGGTGCTGGTTCTTACCTTTAAAGTCCTATATGGTCAGGGACCTGCATACCTGAGGGACCGCCTTTCCCCACGTTTTCCCCAGAGAGCACTACAATCGGGGTCCCAAAACCATCTGGCTCTGCTGGGCCTCAGAGAAGCCAGGCTGGCTGTGATGAGGACCAGGGCCTTCCCAGTGGCGGATCCGTTATGGTGGAATGAGCTCCCGGAAGACATCAGGGCCCTGTGGGACCTTTTACAGTTCTGTAGGGCCTGCAAGATGGAGCTCTTCCACCAGGCCTTCGACTAAGGAGCCGCCCTATATAATTGAGGCCATGGCCCCAATATTAACACCATCATTAACATCATTATAACATCATTTAAACAACTGGATATAACCCAGCCTATGCTGGCAGTTGATTGTTTGTATTGCTGGATGCTGCTCATGCCCGCCATCATATATGAATCATTCTAACACTAACAGTTTGTATGTTTTTATGTGTATTGTGTTTTTATCCTATGTAAGCCACCCTTGGTGGGGAGGGCGGTGTAGAAATAAAATAAATAAATAAATAATCACTGGTTCTCAGAGTGGGCAATACCGCCCCCTCAGGGGCGCTGGAACGATCCAGGGGCGCTGGAACAATCCAGGTGCAGATCCACAAACTGTATCTTTTTGTCCACTTCTTGAAGGTAGATGTCCAGGGGGACGCTGGGTAATTTTTTTTCTGAAAAGGGGGCGGAACCGCTGGATCTTACAGTATAGAGCCCAGTGCTGTACACAGTACTCCACTTGAGGTCTGACTAGTACAGAATAGAGTGAAACTGTTACTTCTTGTTACTTAGATACTGGGCTCTGATTAATGCAGCCTAACATAGAATTAGCCTTTTCTGCAACTGCTTCACATTCTTGATTCATCCTTTTCATATGCTAATGGCAAGCCAGGTATTCACCCATTCAGTACCTATGCATTTGATTATTTTTGCTTAAATTAAAAACCTTTGTATTTATCTTTATTGAATGTTATTGTTTAATTTGAAAACTTTGAGCAAAATGATCAAGGTGATTTTTAATTTTGTTTCTGTCCTCTGAAGTATTGGGTACCCTTCCCAATTTTGTGTGATCACTCTCCCCCAAAATTCACACTACCTTCATGGCTCATCAGCCACATCTTCCCTATTATTTACAATCAGTTCTAAGACAGAGAATTCTCTCATTCTTTCCTCTACCTTCTGAAAGAAGAAATTATCAGGAATTTACTGAACATTCCATCCTTAGCAGATATAGGGAGTAAGTTGTTTCAGGAAGTATCCTGTGCTTTCTCGCCTTAGTTTGGGAATCTGTAATAGATTTTAGCTGCAACATTGTTTTACTGCCATTTCCATTTATTTTGACCAGGATTCTCTCCACACGTTCATTTTTGATTTTTTTATAGGTGTATGCAGGAGTCATTTTGTAGAAAAAGAGGTACAGGAGCTCATTAGCATAACTTATTTGCATATGCCACGCCCCCTGACATCACCGGAAGTGTGTCAGAAGGCAACACCCACCGCTCAGGCCCCACTGGACTGTTTTGGATTGCTCGCTATTGGGGGGGGGGAGACGTGCAGATCTGTCCTCGCAGAGGAGGGAGAGCTTGTACCTGAATAAAACTTGGTCTTAAAGGTGCCACTGGACTGTTTTGGACTGGGGGGGGGGGCTCTGCAACTTACTTGGCTGCTTCTTGCTCTGACTGAGGGCTGCTGGGAGCAGGGGGTGGGGCTTGTTTTATGTGCCCGCCCCCTGGGCTCTTTACTGCCGGAGCTTCGCTCCTGTGCGCTCCTGCAGGAAATTACCCCTGGGTGTATGTATTTTTATCATAATGGTACTTTCCTTCCCTTGCCACTTGATCTGTTCTTTTTCGAGTCATCTTTCATAGATATATTCCAATTGTGAGAGTTGGGGAATCTAACATTTTCAAGTGTTTGGGGCCCAAAACTGCTTGGGAATGCAGAGGAGGGGCTTCAGCCTTCTCTCTGCACTGTTTTCCTTAGCCAAAATAGCTGCAGGGAGGCCGGACTGTGGGACTCTACATGCTGCAGACATCATGCCTAGTTTGACCATAAGCATTCATGTGTAGACGATGGGAAAAAATGAATATTATGCCCCCAGATCTTTCCTTTTATTTTAGAGTGTGACTTCTTAGAAGCTTCTGCAATGTCCCCAGGGTATCTTGTAGCACCTTAGTCCCTATCTTTATGTCACCTTGGGGCTTATACGTTCTGTAATGCATACAACAATATGTCATGCATTCTTAATTTTAAGTATTACATTATTTTACTTCTGGTTCATCACACAGAAGATAACATTAGCAGCATAAATTCAGAAACAAATTCAGATCCAAAGTGAAGATTCTGAAAACTGTTTTTACTTGTCTAATATTTTAGAAATGTCCGTATACACACAGTGGACAACAGAAGAATATCCAGTGAATGAAACCATATCTGTCCGTGTGTTACAAGTGATAAACCCTGGCTTGATCTATGTAGTACCAATGAAAGCCAAAGGTAGGGTCCCAAGTATACTATGTTGACAAAAGTATTCTTTTCATAATGCAATTATGCTGTTGTTTGTGGATTTTAGTTCTGCTTTAATACCATCCTCCCAGATAGATTAGTGTCCAAATTGGAGGGCCTTGGACTCTCCAACTCCATATGTTTCTGGATTTTGAACTTTTTGACAGCCCGCCCCCAGAGGGTTAGAGTAGGGTCCTATATGTCCACAGCCCTTACCACAAGGCTGTGTGTTGAGCCCCTTGCTCTATACCCTCTACACACAGGATTGTACCCCCACCCACCCCAGTAACACCATCATCAAGTTTGCTGATGACACCACTGTCGTGGGGCTCATCTCTGGAAATGATGAGTCTGCTTATCGGGACGAGGTGGAACGGCTTTGTGTTTGGTGCAGGGAAAATAATTTGGTAGTGGACTATAGGAGGAACAAAACGGACATCCAGCCACTGTTTTTTTGGTGGAGAACGTGTGGAGAGGGTGGCTACTTTTAAGTTTTTGGGAGTGATTATTGAGCAAAACTTGACCTGGAGTGCTAACACCACTGCTCTGGTGAAGAAGGCCCAGCAGAGGCTTTTTTCTCAGACTTTTAAAGAAAAATAACTTGAGTGAGAAAATACTGATGTCCTTCTATCGTTGCTCAATAGAGAGCATTTTAACATACTGCGTCTGTACCTGGTTTGCCAGCTGTACGGCTGTGGATAGGAAAGCACTCCAGAGAGTTATCACGACAGCCCAGAAGATTATTGGCTGCCCTCTCCCATTCCTGGAGGAATTGTATAGTTCTCGATGCTTGAAAAAAGCAAAGAACATTCTGCAAAATTTGTCACACCCTGAACACTCCCTGTTTGAACTGCTGCCTTCGGGTAGATGATCTAGGACAATTAAAACAAGGACAAACAGATTAAAGAATAGTTTTTATTCAAGAAATATTATTGCTTTAAATGCTGTATGAAATTGGAATTTGGGTGACATTGGTGGTTTAAGTTGCAATGTAAACCTTAAGGGAGTTATGGGATGGTTGTGAATGGTTGTGTGAGTGTATGAGTATGGTTGTAGATCACCAAATGATTGCACCTTTAATTTCGTTGTACTATGTACAATGACAATAAAGTATATTATTATTATTATTATTATTATTATTACCTTCAGTTTGAAGTTCCAAGCAGTTCTGCATCGGTGCTGAATTTGAGCAAATATCTGCCCCAAAAGTCCTCCTGGGCCTTTCAGCACCTTTTGATATGTCACCTGAGGTACCCTTCTGAATTGGTTGGCTGAGATGTGGGTTGGGAAATTCATGCTCTGGTTCAGATCCTGTCTGGTGACCCAGAAGGTGATGCTGAAAGACTACTACTTGGTCTTGTGACATTTATTAATGTTTCCTGCTGGGTTCCATCTTGTTACCCAGGCTGTTTAGCATTTGTGTGAAAGTACCAGAGGGGTATCTAGAGAACTGGAGTGATCTACCATCAGTATTCAGAGAACCACCCAACTCTTATTTCTCATTTTCAGAAGAGTGGGGTGAGGTAAGAGACGTAAACAGGTGTCTGGAGGTGGTAATGGGTTGGGTAAAGGCCAACAAACTGAAAGTGGGTCCAGATGAGGCTGAGATGGTGTTGGTGAATAATGCGACCAGTTGAGGAGTTGGAATTTTACTATTTTGGATTGCATTGTGCTGTGCCAAAAGCAGCAGATTTACAGCTTTTCCTTTTTCCTTTTTTTTTTTTTGAGTTTTCAGACTTTCTTTATTGAAAGTGGGTATCTTCTGATAGACACTTAAGTCATCTAAAGTGTGCAGTGCCCTAAGTGAGATTTGGCTGGTGTGCCAACTGCAGCCTTTCCATGAGGGGCATGATGTCCACACCTGTTCATGCTTTCATGACATCCTGTTTAGATTTTTGCAGTGCATTGGGTTGCAGTTGGTGCTAAATAACACAGCAAGACAACTAACTAGCATCCGTTATGGGGAACACACCCTACTACTGTTGAAGGAGCTCCAGTGTTTTGTTTCTGGGCCCATTCTAAAGAGTTGGTGTGTGCTCAATAACTTAAGATCTGTACTATTCTGTATTCTTTTGCCGTTGGAAGTGAGGACCACCACCACTAAAGAGAAATGCCTCCTCTGTTGTTACATCTTGTTCATGGAACACCTTTCTCATAATCTGATGAGTTTGTGGGGTGGTGGGCTAGGTTTTATGTTGGATTTTTAACATAACTGCTTTTTTGCTAGTTTTTTTTTTTTTTGCTTTCTAGCTTTAAAAGTAGTTTTTAATTTTTCATGCTGTTACTTTTATTATGCTTCAAAATTTAGGAATACAGTATGCTGCTTTTTTGCGTATTATGTGTTTCTAAAACAATTGGATTTTGGTTGCTTCTGAATGACATAAATGCTTATGCAGAATCTGATTTTTTTAAATTTCTCAGATATTATTTTTTTACTCCTGTGTAATGCCATTATAGGAATTGTTTGTGTGATGAATGATATAAATGTGTATTTTGTCATAGAAAGTCTTAATGAGGGTGTACAGTGGAATGTATAAAATTTCAAACTTTGCTCCCATTTCAGTGGATCCACAGAAGCTGCATGGACTGATGCTTCAACTTGCAGATTACTGCACCTCTCCAAACAACCATGTATTCAAACCAAAAGTTGGTGAAGCCTGTTGTGCTAGATTCTCAGGTCAGACAACAAACTTAAAACTATTCATAAAAATGATTATGTTGAACTTGTGTCCTGTCAATGAAAGTATGGACCATTGAAGAGACATGGCTCAGGCAAAAGCTAAGTCATTATCCACTAGTGGATAATGATGTTTTAGTGAAAGTTCCTTCTTCCATTTGTTCCACATGTAGAATTATAGAAAACAGAAATGCTTTTCATCTCTTACAGCAGGAGGAGTCCCTTTCCCTGCTCCTATTGGGGATAATCTACATAATCTTTCTCTCTCTTTCGCTCCAGCTTTCCAGAGCCACATCTAACAGTGTTCTGGGTTCTGGGATCACCTGGTCAATTTTTCCCTAAAAGGTTAAAATTGCTGTGCCAGTTGTGCCTATGCCTTATCTTGCTCACGCTCCAGCTCAGCTGACGCACCCTGTTCCTAGTGTGTTCTGTTTCCCTACTTGCCCTCCTATACTTCTGCTTAGGGTTCCCAACATGGTTAGGACCTGACTGAAACCCCTAATCTGACTTTTCAGGGGATACTGCCCAGGCCAATCTTCTAGCTTTGATTAAGGGTAAAATGCATAAAGAGATCCGAGAACCCATAGTTCTGTCAGAACTGTCCTTGAAAGGGCAGTTCTTGAAAGAGCTCTCTTAGCCCCACCTACCTCACAGAGTGTCTGTTGTGGGGAGGGGAAGGGAAAGGAGTTTGTAAGCCGCTCTGAGACTCCCAAGTGAAGGGCGGGGTATAAATCCAATCTCTTTTTTTTCTGAAGCTATTCCTAGCTTCAGGAACCTCTCCTGGTCTTCTAGCAGATGTGGGTTTCACTCTCTCGCACCCTCACCCCCCCCCAATCCCCCCAAAAGCAATATAGCCCACTCTGCCAGGCATCCCAGTAGAAAACGAAGCCCTCGGCTAGGCATAGACTCCAAAGAATTGGGCTGTTCTGATTCCTCCTCCCAAAAAGAGGAGGGTGAACTATTGGATGAGGAAGACTCCTTAATTACCACCATGCAGACACGTCTTTTCCCACAGGAGGTATTCTCTAAGCTCCTTTCTGAAGTACTACATATCCTGGAAATCCCTGTCAACAACAAGGAGGTGGAAGTGACTGATCCAAACTGTCAAAGCCCACCAAGATCAGATGGCAGTCCAAACAGCTAAGCAGCACTAGCTCCTCTTTCCACAGAGCAACAGGCCAGAACACACAGGGCCCCAAAAAGAACCCACGGGGACTCAGTTCCATCAAACATAGGGGGGTGTCTTCAGTTTTTCACAGCTCAGTGGGAGTCAACAGTTGGTGACAGGTGAGTCCTGGATACAGTTTCAGATGGCTACTCTCTGGAATTGAGCACCACACCTCCTACCAGATTCCTGCAAGTCCCAAGAAGTTGTTGTCCAAAGAAGCACCTTCTCCAGGCCATACAGCATCTACTTGACGTTGGGGCGATAGAGTCAGTACCAAAGGCCTAAAAGTATTTGGCAGTTTACTTAGTTTTTTTCATAGTCCCAAAGAAGAATGGGGATGTGAAGGTTCTGACTGCAGCCACTAGGGGCGCACGGAAGTCTGAGCATAGCAAAAAGCACTCTAGAATCAGGTAGACTTCCTTTTCTCCAAGACTGATGCAAACTTGCTTAACAACAACTGAGCCAGCACACTGATAGCTGCTACAGTAATTGCCAGCCTGCAGGTCATTTTCTCCAATAGTCTAGCCTTTCTTCCTTTCCTTGCACCCAGCTCAGCTAGATCTTGCAAAGCAGTAGTTAGGGTGTTGCAGCAAGATAAAGCAACCTTTCCCTCTCTTAATTTCTCTCCCTCTTTTCTCATTCATTTCTGTCTCCTTTCCCTAATTTTTTCTGTGCCCCCCCTCCCAATTTTCAATTTTTGGCCTCAAGACTGTCTCATCCCTGTCCTGCTTGGTGACAGAATGTATTAAAGGGTGATGTAGTAGCAAACCTTTGTTAATTATGAATATTAACATTTATTTATTAACATATTATTATTTATTGAATTAACCATATATCCCACAAACTTATGATTATTACAGGAAATAATTTTGTTGTATTGAGGAGGGGCTCTGACCTGGATCGCCCCAGTCTAGCCTGATCTCATCAGATCTCAGAAGCGAAGCAAGGCAGAGGCAGGAAATGGCAAACTACTTCCTAATGTCTCTTGCCTTGAAAACCCTATCAGGTCACCATATGTCAGCTGTGACTTGACAGCCTCCCCACCCCCCAAAAAAACAACAACAACAGAGGAGAGAGGTGTTAAAAAATTATGCACCCCAGGCACCAAATGGGTTAAGAGAGCTCTTTTGTTCTGTTTTCCTCAAACTAAAGACATTTGTAAGAATCACATTCTGTTGCTTTATCACAGAGTTTCTCAAAAAGGCAAAAAGTCTCACCCAAAAGACTTGCAAAATGAATAGCTTCCATCTTCTTTAAGTGCTACCAGCTGGGAAAGCAACTGTTTCCACCATGTATCAAGATGACATACTGGTTAGAATGCTGGACAAGATGGGGGTTCAAATCACTGCTTCCAAGAAAACTTCATGAGTGACCTTGAGCCAGTCATTCTCAGCCTAACCTATCCCACAGGGCTTTTAGGAGAATATGGTGTGTGTGGGGGGGCATATTGTATCATCCTAATGTATTTGTAAGAAAGGCAGGATAAAAATACACTAAATACTTGCAGTCATCTGAAGGAACTGAGTAGAAGACTCCTTCTTCATCTCAGTACAGCCACAGAAGAATGATATTCTTTCATAGGAGGGCTTTCAGTGCTACTTATTGGCCTGAAGCTCTAGAACTTTCCACAGTTACTTCTGCGTTGACACTAAACACTTAAACTGCATGTAGTAGAAAGAGCCAGAGTGGTGTAAAACTGCATGTAGTAGAAAGAGCCAGAGTGGTGTAGAGGTTGCACTGTCAGATTAGACTTGGGATACCCAGATTTGAATCCTCACTCTTAACATGGAAGCTTGCTGGGTGACTTTGGGTGAGACACACAGTCTTAGGCTAACCTACCTCACAGGATTTTTGTGAGAGTAAAAGGAGAACCATGTAAGCCACTTTGGAGTTCCGATTGGGGAGAAAATGACTTAAGTAAATCTCTGTTTACTCCATTGTGGACACAGCAACTTCTGCAAGATTACTTTACACACACACACCACACACCCAAAAGAGATATGGAGGGCCTCCACTTGGGCTTTTGCTTTTGTAAGACACTGCAGATTGGACAGCTGCATGTCAGCTAATGCAGTATTTGGTAGATGAATGCTTCATCAGCTGCTTCTGTGTGGGCATAGAACGTAGCATTGTTTGTCATGTGATTTTATTGAATTATCTTATAATTTTAAATGTTTTTAATTTTTGAGATTTTTTGTGCATATCATCTTGGGGGCCCTGATCAGATGGTAAGGCAGCATAACAATGCTTTAAATAAATAAATTATCAAAATATGGCAAACGCATGAATCGCATGATAGCTTTCCTTATTATTATGTACCTAGTATGAATTGATTCTTAGTGCAGATACTCTTCTTAGGCCACAGTGCCATTTCACATTTATTTGATTTCACTGGAGCATTTCTGTGGCACATTTCTCCCTAAAGGGACTCAAACCAATTAAAATTTTTTTCCAAATTCCAAAGTTGTTTATAAGACAAACTGGGTTGGGCTGGTCCTGGTCCACTGAGCTGCCTATTGCAGTCTCCTAGCAGTGAGTCAACAATTCTTTGGCCATTGTCCTTTGATTCACACTTCTGCCTCCACCTAGGCTAAGCACCTGGAAGGAGAGAACTTAACTCAGCCCAGATAGAACTCAGCTGGTATTTGCTTGCCACAAGCAAGTCAGCAAGCTCCTCACTTCTTCTCCATAGCTGAATATACCTAGCTGCTGCTTCTGGATCCAGTGGCGTGATTGCTTCCTTAGTGGGAAGAGAGCTTTTACTCTGGATCATTTGGGTCTGTTGCCACACAAGTCGAGACTTTTTCAGTTCTTGTGATGGCGCATCAGATGCCAGGTTGTTCCATCCTAATGATGTCAGCACAGAGGTACAACCAATAAGAAGAGTGACCACTTTTTCCTCATTGTGTCTGATCTTTGTTGACAGCTCCTCTCTTCTTTTAATCTGAATTTCAGTTCCCACAGATATTGCAGTCTACCTTGTGTTAACTGCTCCAACAGTTCTGTATTCCAGAGATCCTTGCCTGCTCCTGATTTAGGGTTGCCAAATGGGCCCGGGGGACAGGGAATCCCCCGCTTTGGAGGGCCGATTTCCGATGCGACGGAATCAGCCCCAGGGGGAACCCCGCCCCCCGAAGCTGCGTCGCCAAAGGTGACGCACGACATAAGGCATGTTGGGAGTGTGGCCAATGTTCCCTCTAAGCTGTGGAGTCCTGTGAGCAAAAATTCTACTTTGTGAGCTACAGCATTAAAATTGTGAGCAGGCAGGTGATTTGGCTACTGCATAAATTAGTTTGCTCTGGACTGGAGCCATCGTTCCTGAGCTAAGACAACAATGTGTGAGCCGGAGGCTAAAAAATATCCTGATTGGATCTGGGAGAATGGGTTACACATTCAGCCATTTATTCTTTCTGCTTCACTCAAGTGGTGTAAGGTTCTGTGGGTAAATTTGTGACAGATATATCAACTAAAAGAGTTGCTGAAGGATAGGAGTCTGTTATATTACCTAAAGGAAGTTTAGTGAGCTACAAATTTTACTAAAGTTGTAAATGTAACTTGTTAGGGAAACTATTGATTGGCTAGTTCGTCACTTGCTAGCAGGAGGAGAAACTTTCAAACAGCAAGAAAAGGCAATTGCGTGCTTTTATACGTACCATAGCAAGCTGCCCAAACCAAATATTAACAGTTTTTTTAAACTCCTTTTCAGGTGATGACCGTTGGTACCGTGCTGCTGTTCTGGAAGTCTTTGTGTCAGAAGTGAAAGTGGCATATGCAGATTACGGAAATGTGGAGATACTACCACTTTCTAGGCTGCTACCTATAACTGCCCCCTACTTGGAACTACCTTTTCAAATACTTAAGTGTTCCCTTGCAGGTAGTAAAATACCCAGTGCAGTTCATCAAATAACAAGATTATATGTATACATGCCTATATAGTTTTCTAAGTATTTGAGTATTAAGCTTCGGTGAGCTAATTGTGTTATCCTTACCTCTTGAACTAAAGTAATCTCTAGTAAGATTTTTAAATATATGTGGACGATCTTGGAGGAATATTAACTTTTCTCAGAATCTACCAAAATAAATTGAATTAATTTTGAGTATATTTTCCAGATTTCTGTGCTTGCAGCATCTTTGTAATATCCCACTGCTTCCCCTATTTTTCAAAGGGAGAGGGCTAGAGAACTAAAGTTTCCCTCTTTAACATGTCGTCCCGCAGTAGGTACACCCAGTTGCTTAATCATGACATTGTTCTGAACTTTCCTTTGGGAACAGTTTTTGTTCCCTTTTCTAAAGCTCCTGGTCATCAGGTAGCATATTTTTATTTACTAATTACAGTTATATTTCACCTTCTTTTCTTCATGGAACTCAAGGGGGCATACATCATAACATTCCCTGGAGATCTCCCATTCATTTTTTTGAAAAACTGAAGACTAAAAGAAGTCAGAGAAATCCCCTCTTTCTGAAAAAGGGAACTTGGTGTAATAATTACTTCAGATCCACAAGTCATATGCTTCTAGAGATAATTTAAAAATTCAGTTATACATTTGATACATTTTTTATACAAAAGTCTTAAAGCAGGGTCTTTGTGAAATGTGAACAGGACAAGTTGCTCAATAGCTAGTGAATGACCCCTGGCAAGTCTCTACGGGGGCTGTGGGATCTTACCTAAAAAAGGGTTGCAGTTTGGCTAAGAGCAAACAAATGGGATAGAAGGAATATCACATTTAGTGATTTATGAGACGGACAAAGAGAGCTAGGTGAAGTTCTCACAGGGGCTAGAGATAATATGATCTTGTGCTGTTTGTAGTCAGGGAGGGAAGTGGTCAGGTAAGAGCTCTGATAATGTGATAAGCAGACCAAAATGGGCAGGGAGGTGGAAACTTTGATTTGAAATAACCAGTTCTTTGGGTTGGACCTAAACTTCTGCTTACAAGAGGCAACAGCACTTCTTCTCATGCAAAAGGATGAGTTTTTTGATTTCTTTAAATGTGTTTATGTTGGTAAATTGTTTAGGAAATCTTATAAATAATATTTATTCATTTATTTATTGGATTTATATCCCGCCCTCCCCGAAGGCTCAGGGCGGCTAACAAAGAGGGACAAGTGCCAAAGTTAAAACAGATAAAAACAGAATAAAACAATTTAGTTTTAACAAGACTCTCGTACATTGTGCCTTGTATCCATGCCTTCCCCATGGACAACATAAGCTTCTCCCCTGTGTCAGCATCTGAACTTTGTTAAGCAGAGTGTGTCTGGCAGCTGGTGTTCCTTTGAGACTGTGTAGCCCATACAGTTTTGTATTTATGGAATGTGGCCCTGCATATCACTCATGCTCCATCTGGGGAAGGAGGTTATTTATGAGGGCTGCTGCTCCCACCAGCTCCACAGGCACGGCCACTGAGTTGAAGATTTGCAGTGTCTTTCCATTTCCAGTCAGAGTTGGATCTTTGGATCCCCAGTACATGCCCTCCCTGCCCTGCGAAAGCAGGTCACTTTGTAAGCTTTGCTCCTCATCTGTTTGTCCGGCCTTTTACTTGATCCTTTAAAAGGAAAGTTTGGGGGGTGATGGGAAAAGAAGGACTTTAAAAGGTCTGCTGCCTTTTTGGCCACCTCATGTTTCTCCCACCGAAGCCAAGTGGCCGTCATTCCCCGAGGCCCAAAGAAAGGTTGCCACAGAGGGGAAGATAGCTTGTGAAGCTGCAACATGAATGATCTTTCTGGTCTTGAGCCTGAGTCTTCCCTAGTTTCAGGTAGTTACCCCAGGGATGACTTACACTCGTGAATACTCTGTGGAGTTAGCAATCTTATCAACCACCTTCCTTCCAGAGCACCCTTTTAGTACCATGTTCAAGTGGGACCTAACATAGTTGCAGAGAGAAAAAATGCCAACATACTTGAAGTAATAAGAAATGTATCTTTAAAAATGTCCACATGCATACTTTGCACAACAGTGGATTGATCAGGAAGACAAGGTAAAGGTGAATACATGTGATCTTCTGTATTTCTACTATCCATACCCTGACTGTTGCTGTATTGTTGTCCTGGGATAGGTTATTCACACTTAACAGAAACAGCTCCTCCAGCCACTTCTACACTTGAAAAGGCACCAGCTGGAGGACACTAGAGCTCCTGGGGCCACGGCATGCCTGAGCCAGATCAGGGCCTCACAGTGATTTTTAAATAAGTACAGATGCATTTAAAATGGCCCTGGCAGCCAGGGATGGACCTGTGGCCTCTGTTATTTGTATTTTGGTCCTCAGTCAGTTCCAGACATGATGAGTTAGAAACAATGCATGAAGAACCCCTTTCTGTCCTTGTGCAAAAGCATCATCCATGTTTAATGTGTAATAGTGCATTCTTGTGATAGTGAAGTGCACAGTCTTATGAGAGTAAAGAGTTTATCTGAATGTTTGATTTTAGGGATCGGATGCAAACATACGCAAAAGCATTCAAAACCTAGAATTGAGATAGTCACTACTTCAGTCCAGCTTGCTCATTTCCATTGTAATTTTAAATTAAGAGCATGGTAAACAGTTCCAATAATTCAGAAAGGTGAAGTAAAATTATCTGTTTCCTAGGAATTATGGAACTGGATGAAAAGTGGTCTATATCTGCAACAGAGAAGCTAAAGGCTCTCTTACTGAATGAATGTGTGATTATAAAGGTGAAAAAAGTTGCTGAAAATATTCATGCCGTAACAATGAATAAAAATTATGAAAACAATATTCTGAATGTAGCTGACCAGCTGGTAATTGAAAACCTAGCAAGACATAGCAACAGTGAGAAACGTAAGTACTTTGTGAACTCATTTACATATTCATTATAATTTATATATTTTCCTGTGTAGAATCAGAATGTTACCTGTTAAAGTACACACTGTCAATATTGTAACTGATAAAAATGGACACACTTTTCACAGTGTTTATCCTTGGTGCTGCTCACTGGAGCAGTACGAATCTAGATATATTTAACTAATTACATTTGCTTCTTTGTAGAGTGTGCAAAGAAGACCAAGTGTTGTTGTACAGAGTTAAAGAAGCAAGTAAGTTTCAGTCCAGAGCAAGTCCAGTTTGTTTCCTAATAATGATTGCTTGCTTAGCCAGTGAAGATGGTTTCACAGTGCATGCATCTGCAAAATGCATTTATACTAAGTGGGCAAAAAGTAACCAGACTATTAATTAATAATTTATTGCAGCAAAATGAGACATTACAGTAAACCTCTGGGTTTTTTGAAATTGTCTTGTCTAGCTCACCTCCATTTGATTAAGTGAAGCTTGAATGTTTCATTGTTTGAGTACCAGTTGCCTGGTGGGAGGCTGAAAGGTGAAGCCATGCTTGTTGGCTTCCTGGAGCATCTTGTTGGCCACTGTGGGGAAACAAGATGCTGGACCATTAGTCTGATCCAGCTGGGCTCTCAGGTTCTTAGTATTGCTTCTAGCTCAGAGTAGGAACAAAATAAGCCTTTAGTGATCTCTGGGCAGTCACAGTGCAGTCCTGTGTTTGTATATTCAGAATCATCTGTATCTAAGCTGGAAACAATTTTGGCAATCAGCTCCCCCCCCTTAAAAAGAGAAGGGGCCACTCCATGTGCCTCAGTAAGTAGAGCCATGCCTTCACTCTCATTTCTTGATGGTAGAGGCTGGAATTCTATGGCTCAGTTGTACTTTTTCCCTGCATCGGGCCTTGTAGCCTGCTATCAAGATTTGCTGTGGGAAAAGATCTCTCTTCTGCTGGATCATATCCAAGACAGGAAGGGCCTTGCTACTGTTTCCTAAAGTGAGGTTGTTTGGCTCATCGTATAATGTCTAAACACATCACTGATTATGGCTTCATGGTGCTGTGCAGGCACACCTAGCGTTGGTCTACTGTTTAACCTCCAAGAGAAATAATGGTGAGGGGTTATTTCACAACAAGATGGATAACACTCTGGAACAAGACCAGAAATTAATCTGATGCTTGTTCTCTGGGAATGGTTCCAGGCAGTCTCAAAAAGTCCACATGATGGGGACCATGTACAGAGAAGGGATTTTCAGCAAATCTGGGGAACAGCCAGGCTTGCACAAAAATCTAAAAACAAGAAGTTAAGGGGACATAAACTATAAGGAAAAGAAAGAATTCTTGTGACATAAGTTTGTGAGACCTCAGCCACCATGCTGTGTAAGCGTTGCAGTAGCATGTTGCGGCAGTAGCTGGAGGGAGCACGGTAGTAGGACAAGAGAGGAGGAGAGAGAGATTGGTGGCAAGGAGGCATGTGGTGATGGGGAGGCCTGAGAAGGAAGAAGGCGATTCC